GGAATATAGAACGAATTTTTATAATTTAAGTTACAATTTGAATGTGCTGGACCGCGGTGATCTATCGGTGAGATGACAATGATCGCGGACTCGCGTATCGTCCGGCGCGAACAGTTTCTCGCAGATGACAATGTGTCGCGCTACAGTATGCCTCCCATTGCTGTTTAGACAATGTTTCCATGGGCACGTTGGCGGATACGATATTTTTCACGCGATGTGCCAAATCGTCGAGTTGTTGCGCGAACCAGATTATACAGCCTTCATCGCGACAGAAGTAATACGACGATAATGTGTCGTCGTATGCGCATCGTACGTAATAGTCTATGTTAAACGCTTCATGCCGCTGGTACGCATACAACGACGCGTCTTTCTTGTCGGATTCTGTCTTACATAGGATGCATTCCAGGTCGGCGTAGACGATGAACGGTGTTCGTTTCCGGTTGTACTGTAGTTGTCAAATTCGAGCCACTTGTCGTCCTCGCTCGGTAGTCGGATAGCGCAGTCGTTGATCTTCTGGCAGTCCATTTCGTGCAATTGCAATTTTTCGCACGAATTGAAGTAATGAAGACATCTATAAATAATAGAGAAATCATTTTTCATTATTTCTTTTTTACTGTTTTTTTTTTTTTTATTGGGGTTTCTTATTATACTTACCAATCGCAGAAAAATTTCTTGTTTTTTTTTCCCACTAATCTGCAAGCTCATGAAACGCGATAGATTTTTTATCCACGCAAAGTAGCCAAGGTTGTCGTTGTGTGAATCTTGTAGATACAGGAGATTGACGTGTTTCTCCTTCTTGTTATTGGTGAGCCGCAGAGGAACGACTTTATTCTCAATGCTGTATATTGATCGACACCGCGTTCAACCGTTCGAATTTAGAAATGTCTTTTAAAGTCATTGGAAACTCAATGTTTGTGAGATTTAATACTATCGTATAATGCGGATAAGACGATTCCCGCTCCGTATACTTTTCAGTTCAGGGTACAGAGCGGCGACTACCGACACGCGAAGCACGCATTGTCCGTCGTACGAACACTGATTACCGCTCGTTTCATCACTATTTCTCGTGGCCCTTCGATGTGACATCCCGCGCGCAGGGGATTTAGTTTATTCACATTAATAGTCAAATTCAATATACATGACAATGCCCACCCGCTGTCGCGTTCCTGGAACTCTTCGAGCGATGCTAGAATAGGCTCGACGTGCTGCTCGTACCACACGCGCAAATCGATATATCTCGCTGTTCTTTGTAACTATGCTCTTATTAGCACGTTTATCCTTCATCGCGAACTCACCGTTGAACGCGGTGTCACACTACCGTGTAAAAGTCTTTCTACAGCGTCTCGCACTCGTTCTAGAATTTTTCAGCGTCTTCTAAAAACCGTCGCGGCTCGATGTGATTAAAGTTTATCATCGCACCTGTCAATATACGACTCTCGAACGCGGCGTCGATCTCTCGCCAGACAAGAGATCGTTCGTTGCTACTCGCGTACTCGCCACCAATGTGCACGAAACGTCGCTCCAATTGCGACTTTGCACCCGCGAGTCGCGCGATCCTCGCCACCACGGATTGTCTGTGTCCAACGGCGAGGCGCCGACGCTTGGCACGACAAAGTTCTTCGAGCTGCTCGATGCACTCGTCGCATTGTTGTAGCCACGCGAAACACTCCACCAGAGTAGCGACCTAGCCGCACTGCTCCAACAGTTCGCGTTCCACTCGCTCATGATTTTCCATGTCTTTTCACAGTTTTTAGATCACGTCGCACTCTTCCATGGAGTACTTGCACTTGTGACTCGTTCACACACATTGCAACATCGTGACATATCTAGAATATCATAACGTTCTAACACTTTTTCATTATGTTTGTTTGCGAAAGTGCACTATTCGCACTCAAAGCATTGTTTGTCACATCTATTGAAAAACAATTTTAATGCAAGATCGCGATCACGAAACTTCATCTATATATTGTCAATAATCAGCAGTTCGACATACTTTTCATTACCCACGGGAATCTTAATGCAAATGCACCAATCTTGGCTCTTATCTGCGATTTTTTTCGCCCAATAATAATCGTCCTTTATTACATTTCTATTCCACCAATGTCTCTTTTCATACTCATCGTCCTCGTAACATTTGTCTCGTAACCGTGAGTACACTTTCTGTCGTGCGAGTAAAGACCAGTCAGAAATGGGCTCTTTAATAACTATTCCATTTTTTTCATCACGTATACCGAATTCTCGATCGCGTAGGAATTGCACCGGCGATATTCGCACATCTGTATCTCTTTTTTGCGGATTATCGAGAACATACAGCACATCATCTACATTATAGTCTTCCCACATATTTTCCAATACTGTTCACAATAGTTCTTTTTTAATGTGTGCAGGGTGGGCCCATGCTGTACGAGAATGTACTGTACAAAGGTCCTCTGCAATTCGTGCACGATTTACCGTCTAGCCTACCGAAAGAACCGTCTCATGCTCCCTCACGTGATACATTCCTACATCGTTAATGTCAGCTATACGAATCATGCATGCTGTGCATACAGTTAAAGCACCACCCGTTGTATAATAATTGTGGATCACACAGTGTTTAGTTCGAGCGTTCAACGTACGGATTTCCGAAGGCTGTACAAATTTTTCTACGCGATCGATTTCATACTCGCTCATATCACTAGCACATCCACTATCATCGGATAGCATTTCTTCGTCAGATGACTCTTGGTCCCTTATATTCTCAAAGTCTACTTCCATTTCTTCGAATACTTCGTCTCTGATGTTCGCGAACTTCCGGATCCATGTTTCTAATATACTCGGCTACGTTAGCTATGTTCTCAACGTTTCTGATATTCTTGACTTCTACATCGTCCATTGTTCTCAAATTCTATTTCCATTGCTTTAAATAACTTGTCTGCATTCACACCATCCATGTCCTGAACGTTTGCACGATAGTCAATCATACTTTTCGCATTATATAATACTTATTGCGATTCGGTAATCTTTAAAGGCGCTAACTGAGATGCCGCGCGCTTATGATCCCATTATATATTCCATTTTGTGACTTCTTTGTCTACCCTTTATCTATCATCCCTATTGGGTCGCAGTAGTGACGACATGTCACCGATCTCACGGTTCTTCCTAGATAAATATCTTTATCGATGCTTCTGACCTTGAAAGAAAGAACTGTGAGAATGCATCAATGATATGTTACCAAGACAAAATATCTTGTTTGCGTTATAATACCGCGGTTTTGGGACGTGGGATCTGCGGCGGCAGCGGCCCAAAAAATTTTGGGGTGGACGCGGGGTCGCGGCAGCGGGGTGGCGGCAGGATGTGAGGTGACAGTCCCCAGTGATACGTGATCCCATAACATGGTATCACGTATCATTATAAACACCGATAGCGGGGACTTCCCGCACTCTCCTCCTCCTTCTCCACTCCTACCAGTACCCCCCGCGCCTACGAATACTCCTTGCGCTCCCCTCTAGCCCCATGGGTTAGAACTCGCCTTGCTATACTACTAACGTTGAAGCAAAAGTGCAAGTCATTTAAAAAAAATTTTTTCTTGAAAAATTTAATACAGATGTCTAAAAACTAAAACTAAAAAACATTTTTTGTGTAAAACATATCTCTTACATTATTACATGATATTTTTTTGATAGAGATTTTTGAAATGCTGTTATCACTTTTCGAAAAATAATCGCCTACATTAGCGTTATTCAATGAAGATTTTTTTTATTCTATGCACGTCAAAGTTGACGTTTATTTTTTAATTTTAAAAGATCGACTTCAAATTAACATCATTTGTAATAAAATTTTTACATAGAAACATGATTTGAAACATTTGAAAGTTTTAAAATTTAATGATTTAAGTTTTAAAATGATTATGATATTAAAATGATTATTTCAAACGTTTTATAATCATTTTTTACAGAGCTACATATAATAAATCTTGATTTTGGATTTTTTGACACTAATAATCTTTTAACTTCAAGATAATATAACTTCGTCAAAAATGATCGTAATGAGATTTTTAAAAAAGCATTTTTAGAGAACTCTTTATTTTTGAAATCGGTATTTCAATTGGCTAATCTTTTACAGAGCTGTATGGACACAAATAGATATCTGTCAGAAATCTGAAAATTTGGATAAATTTTATAAAGGTCTATGGCGTGAAGTAAAAATCACACAAAAATGTGATTACAGCAGAAAGAGTGAATCTTTACCTTCAATTTGTTTTTTTATTAAGTGCTGTACGATTTTTTTTTCATCGAGTTATTGTTTCACCCATTGAAGCAAAAATGATCACTTTTGCTATAGAATCTATATTTATTCTTTTGATTGTTGTAAACCGCATTTTTATGTGGTTTTTACTTCACACCATAGACTTTTGTAAAGTTTATAAAAATTTTTCAGATTTGACGGTTATCCATTTGAGTCCGTATATCTCCGTAAAGAATTAGTCAGATTAAAATATCAATTACCGATTTCGAAAGTAAATATTTCAAGCTTTCAAATGCTTTCTTGATTTTTTGTTTGCAATAATTTTTCCCCGAGTTTGATGTTCTGAATATTGCGCAATTTTGAAGTGTTCCCTCTTTTTGTTGAATAGTGTATTCTTTAGAATTATACATACGAATACATTCTCTGTCAAATATGACAGAGAACGCCATCATTTCAATTAAAGTTAAATGTTTCGAATAATACAATATATATTCTTTTATTAAATAAATTTATTTCAGATATGATTGCACTTTTAACACGTTCTCTGTTAAAATACTGATCGCAGGGACTCCAAACTAATACATAATGGATTTAATTTTTAAAAGTTGTTCCTGTTTGTTCTAGTTTTTAGAATGATAGATTGAATTTTTTGATGATCATTAAAGACTCAATGATGAAATGACTTCACTTACTTGCACGTAAAATTTACATACGATAGCATTCTAGGATTAAATTTGTGTAAGAAATGTGATTTATTATGTATTTATATGTTACAGCGATATCATGGCCACCGATTGAGGGTACACCTGGAGCATTTAGGTCCTCGCATCACCGAACGGTTCGTGATGTGTATGATTTTAGGATGTCGAATTGGTTTGTTGGGGCGGCAAACAGCCCGAAAGATCTAGCGATATTGATCGATAGCGCGACGTACACGTCTGACCGGAATCGGCGATTAACAATAACTACGACAAAAGTCGTCTTGGATACTTTAGGGCCGGACGATTATATAAACGTATATCGTTATGGCGAGAATGCCGAGGAAATAGTGCAGTGCTTCAAGGATAGTCTGGTGCAGGCGTCACCTGAAAATATTCATGAGATGAAGGTAGCTTTAAGTTCTCTGAAACACGAAGACACTGTGACCAATATTTCAGCTGCGCTCAGCACCGCCTTCGAGATCCTTCATAAATACAACCGCTCCAGTCAAGGAAGCCAGTGCAACCAGGCCATTATGTTGATCACATCCGACACCGATGGCCCACCAGCAGAAGTGATAAAACGTTACAATTGGCCGCATATGCCCGTACGGATCTTTACCTATCTCATCGGTGGGGACAAGAGTCTTGATCTCCAAAACACGGCGTGCACCACTAAAGGTTACTCATCGATAGTTTACAGATGTACAAAGTCTCACAATCAATAATGTAATCAGAAAAAGAATGATTCGTGAAAAAGAAAAAAATAAAACGTAGTCAATTTTTATATATACAAGTTTGTTTTGTTTTCGGAAAAAATTATTTTAAAAATTGGAACAGTAAAGTCATATTTATATTTCCTTTTTATCCTTTAAATTATTTCTAAAAATTTCTTATATTTCTTATTGTAAATTATAGTTTTGTTAATGGTTAGCCAAATATATCATTTCCTTTAAAAGTGACATAATTCAGAAAATTAAGTTTCTTGATAAAACTATGACAGAAAATTATTGTTGACTAATTAAATAATATTGACAAAAAAAATATTCTTAACAATCAAATGCCATTTTTGTCATTATTATTTGTCACAATCCTTAAAAAAATTATCCTTTTTTTAGTTGTGATGAATTTGACGACTTTTTAAAATCATCCATTTAGAGACGTTTTGACGATTTTTTTATATAATTCGTATTCACTTTTGACTGATAAAGTAATGCTTATCTAACTAATTTATGGTAAAAACTCGAAAATTATGTTTTTAGAATTATGTCACTTTTGAAATAAAGGAGGAATATGAAAAAACGACATTATATTAGAAAATTAAAAGTGATGTTAATATACATACAGGATACCGGAAAGCGATAAACTTAAAAGAGATAAATCTAAACAACTGATTGTTAAGTTAGATAAACTGAAAAGAGTAATAAACCTGATAACTAACTGAATTAAACTATACAACTTTTGTTAAGTAACTCATATGTCTAGCTATGTCTCCTTAAGGTGTTAAATGTCAATTTAATTTGTAGCTGTAATCTAATTTATGCTACTTTTTATAAGTTTAAACTGAATGAAAAGTTTTTAAATTTTGTTTAATTTTTTATTGTAATAAGTGTTTAAATTGGTATCTACTCTTTACTCTTATTACATGTACGTCACACTATTTAGAGCAATACTGGAATTTACTTGCAACTTTTGCGCTGATTTTTAATTAAGTTTCCGCCGTCTGCCTTATCAACTACGTGCAGTCTAAATGCCGATTTGGTGAAGTATAAAACAAGCTAAAAATCGCCCGAAAGTTACAAGCAAGTTCCAGCATTGTTTTAGAAAATTCCAAAATTATTACGGTTATATGCATTCATTATTCTGTTAATAAAATTTTGAGTATCAACCATGTACTTGAAACTTCGACATGTCCACACAAGAAAAAAGTACGCATTATGGTAAAAAAAAACTCATATAATATATATGTCTTATATATATATAACACTATTTTCATTATATCTTTTATCTCACAATAATATATTCTTATAATATACTATAATAATTTTTTTTTAAGAATTTTTTATATTTTAAATTTATAAAAAGGTTTCTGAAAAATATCTTAAACTTCTTTAGATTTTATAAGTTTTCTACAAAAATTATGAGAAATCATAAAATATTTCAGAATTCACGCATACATGTAAAAAATTCTAAAAAAGATATACATCTGCATTTTCTCAGCATTTCTGAAAATTCTAATTCATTTAAAAAATCAGAAATTATTTAAAAAGTTAGTTATATTAAATTACAGAAATTCCAAAATTATGAAAAATTACATAAAGAATTAAAAGAAAAATTTTCCCCAGGGCACTAAGTCTGGAAATTAATATTTTAAGGAGATGTTGCCAAATATGCATTACTTAACAAATATTATTTAATTTAATATATATAATTATTTAGAGACGACTCATTTTGCCTACAAATCGATTGCTTACAACATCGTTTGCTTACATCACTTTTGCCGACAGTTCATTTGCACAAAAATTATTACCTACAGCTCGATGTATGCACAAATTAAAATTTTAATTTGTTTTTTTAAGTTGAAGTTTTGTACGATTTTTTTTTTCTCCGAATTATTCAATGTTGAAGCAAAAACGATCTTTTTTTCTATGTTGAATAACTCGAAAAAAATCGTAGAGGTCAATAAAAAAGCAAATTAATCGAATAAATTTATATTGAAATCGTAATCATTGTTTTGCAAACAAAATTTTAAGAAAAGTATGAAATGTTGAGAGATAAATTTTGTAACTTTTAATGATTTATTCCGGACTACTAATTTACACAAATTTATACAAATTTTATTTTTATAATTTTAAATTAGTGGAAGAAAAATTTGATTTTTTTTATTTCTAAAGTCTCATAACCTTTTAAATATTAAGAATTATATAACAATAGAGTATATTTATATATAAAGATTGAGAAATACAATTTATACTTGACTATAACATCGAATATTAAAAAAATAAAATGTTATGTATAATATCTCATGTTAATAATATTGATTTCTATAGGATTTTACGCGAGAATAACGAACGCGGACGAAATCCATAATAAAGTTTTCGAGTACGTGAAAGTTTTAGCGCGGCCTATGGTACTCTATCAACATGATCATCCTCTTCATTGGAGTCCCGCTTACGTAGGTGGAAAAGTAAGCGATTTAATTCACACACATAAATAATTATTATATTAATTACATTGATTAATTTATTGCGGAATATTTTTATAAATATATAATTTTTTATTGTCATATACCTATGCATAAATATTCTGCAGTATTTCTACATTAATAACAATTGACTTTCAGAGTAGTAGATATGGCAGAGAAAATCGGGGCCAATTGATGACATCTGTGACAGCTCCGATTTTAGATCGCCGGAATTATACGGTAATTATACTTTAAATACAATAGTTATGTGCTGATGCTTTAATATTGTGCGAGCACTTTAAATGTATAAATAAATTGCACTTCATTATATGTTATCATTCTAAGGTAAAAACGGCTAATTTATTGGGTATTGTCGGTACCGATGTACCTATCGAAGAAATTCAGAAACTCGTGCCGCCTTACAAGGTATAAACTAATGTTTTCTTCATTATTCGGTCTGATCATACCAATTGCTTGGCTTTCAGAAAGACTTGGCTCTTTGGTCGCTATTCATAATCCGTTCTTATTTTAAGACTATCTTAGGTAATGTTTAAAAATATTTAATACGACTTTCTGATTGGTTTATTAGACATCTTAAGACTGTATGTAAAAGGATCGATATTTATATATTCTTAAATTTAAGAATCGATTATAAATATCGATCTTTGTCGGATCTTTTCCTATAGAGTTTTATACAATTTTATCTTAAATAATAAATGAAAAATAAAAAGTGAGAATTAAATAGAATAAGAAATATTTTATTTTTAGAAAAATACAAATCAATGTATTAGAGAAAGACATATTCAATCATAATTAGCCACTAAATTGGTGTGACCAGTTCATGTTTATATATTTTGCTCATTGACTAAACATAATACGTATTAACGCATTTCTTACATTACAGTTAGGAGTTAATGGATATTCATTTATTGTTGACAATAATGGCAGAATTCTATATCATCCTGATCTACGACTTCTCGTAAGTATTAATGTCATCGCGACGAATAACAACAACGTGTTCAAATAATTTCACAAATTTTACAAATATGTAATTTTAATGTTAGTACATTTTTTTCGGTAAAAGTCTTACAGTAAAAGATTACTTTTTGATTTTGATACATGTTGTAGAGTTCATTCCTAAGTAATATGCATTTTAAAATTAGATGGCTCTCTTATCATATTTTTAAAAATCTTTTAAGTTCAAAATATTAAAATGTCCTTACAACTACTGCCTAACTAACCTTTTAAGAATGTATTCTTGAAATAATTTTAAGTCAAAAATTGTACGAAATGTGAGAGTATAATAGTTTTGAAATTAGTATCTAATGATTAAAGTTTATTAAGCACAGAATTTATATTTTCCATGCTCAAACATGATGATATAACAAGTGATAAAGATGCCACCGTGAGGATCATCAAAATTATGTAAAAATGTAATTATTTTTATTGAGAAATTATTTCTGCTTTTGTGTAAAATTTATCTGAAAAAAAAAAGTTTTTATATATTAGGTGTACAACTTTGCTTCCGCCGTTTTCTTATAGATGGCTTTAGCGGTAAGTGGTGGTCGAAATAAATAGACGTCATAATCAGACGTAGAAATAGATCATAGACGTCATACAATAAACTTGGGCATCTGTCAACATAACCCCATAGAAACATTAGTCGATTTGTGTCTGCATCATAAAGTTATTCTCGATTGAAAATGTCAGTTTACGAGCCAAATTCTCGTCATTTGCGGGAGGTTTTAATTTTTTGCTTCAATATGAAGAAATCTGCGGCTGAGGCTCATCGAATGCTCTCAAATACTTATGGTGAGGACGCTATTAGTGAAAGAACGTGTCGTGAGTGGTTTCAACGCTTCAAGAACGGATTTTGACGTCCAAGGTCATGCTCTGTATGACCTATATGAGCTGGTGGGATCAGCTCGGCGTAGTGTATTATGAACTGTTAAAACCGACTGAAACAATCACAGGCGATCGGTATCGAACGCAATTGATGCGTTTGAGCCGAGCATTGAAAGACAAACGGCCGCATACAACGAGAGACATGATAAAGTGATTTTGCAGCATGACAATGCTCGACCCCATGTTGCGAAAGTGGTCAAGACATACTTGGAAACGTTGAAATGGGAAGTCCTACCCCACCCGCCGTATTCTCCAGACGTTGCTCCCTCTGACTATCACTTGTTTCGATCAATGGCACACGGCCTGGCTGACCAGCACTTCCGGTCTTATGAAGAAGTAAAAAATTGGATCGATTCGTGAATAGCCTCAAAAGATGACCAGTTTTTTCGATGCGGGATTCGTACACTATCTGAAAGATGGGAGAAAGTAGTGGCCAGCGATGAACAATACTTTGAATCATAAATGTATAACCAGTTTTTTACAATAAACACAATAAAGCCTCGAATTTCGGAAAAAAATGGCGGAAGCAAAGTTGTACACCTCATATTCTTAACGTTTTTAAAATTCAAAAATATCTTTAGATTTAATGAATGTTAAATAATGGAAGTATCACCATTACAGAATAATATATTCAAAATAATAAAATGCTAATCCTTAGATAACATTCTAATGATTAAAATTCAATTTTAATCATTAAGACAGTTTTAAGTACAGTCTTAAGATGTCATAAATTAATTCGAGGATTGTATTAGCATCTTAAGACTTTATTTAAGATGGTTTTAAAATAAGAAACTATGAATACTGCCCCATTTTCGCATTTCATACTTCGCACTATTGATGACGAGGAACAAAAATAGGCATGGTTTGGTCGAACTGCACACATCATAAAATCCTTTCACCATAGTTTTTATTTAATCGAATATGAAATTGTCAACAATATATTATATTGATTGCTTTCTAACTATCACGATGTATTAATGCTCTCATTACCCAGTTATTAACATTTATTAGTTTTCGTATATATAGAATAATTTAAGATACAGAAGACAATAAATACATAAGAGAAAGTCTTAGACTTTATTAGATAGCATCGCCTAATTTAAAGCGCATGTCATTCAGAAATAAGCTCTTCACAACATATTTCAAAGTCGAAGTATAATCCATACTGTGTAAATGACATTTTTACATTTTTTCATCTTTTTATAAATATATAAATATATAAATATTATATATTCAACAAATATTATAAATATTATATATTCAATAAATATAATATATTCAAAATTTTACTGGTTTCTTTTCTTTTCTTTTTATTTTTACTTTTTTTATTTGTTGTAAAGGACAACAAGAATAATATTGTAATATTGCATAAATGTTTCACGCAGCCTGGAAATACAGAAGTAAGTAAAAGTTATTGTATGCGTATATGCTTTATTATTAAATGTACAGAGTACAAAAGATAATTATACAGAGTATCCGGTAAGTTTTAACAACGTACTCATATGTAGATAGAGCGGATTAAATTGAGTCAAAAAATCCTAGATAAGATTTCCATATACTATGCAAGTTCGATTTTGATAAAATTTTACAAGTATGTACTATTAACTAAATGTAGTCAAATCCATAAATGCGGACTTGCAGAAATGCTTAGTTTTTGAAATATTCAAAATTTATTTAATCGACTTAATTAACATTTGGTAAAACTTTCCCTTTACGCAATCAGCCCCAAATGACCTTCAACTGGCCTTGATCCTCAAGGAGATCAAGATCACTGATCATTTTTGTCACTCGTTATTCATTAAAAAGTTATGAACAAAATAATTTTTATGAATAGTATGTAATTTTCGAACACATATCATTGAACATATATTCAGTATTTTCCTTTGACAGAGGAAGATAGGGGTAGACCTCGCTTCGTGTAGAAAGTCATGTGCCTCTGAAGCAGAAGGGGAAGGTGGGATAAAAGTCGCTTTGCATGAAAAATCACGCGTCTCTGAAACAGAAGGGGGGAAGGTGGAGTGAAAGTTGTTTCACGTAAAGCTCTAGATATATCATAAGTAGTGCATTATCTTTATCTGAGCTGAAATGCCGACAACGTTCCTATTGGCTATTTCGATCACCATTTTGGTTTAATTGTCTGTAGTTAATAAGCGCTGGTATAGGATGATTAGTAAACCAAAAATAAAAGACTTGTGCGTTACTTTGGTGTAATTTTAGAACTTTAGTTTCGCGTGATAGCCGTGCGCTCCTGAAGCGGCAGGGGGGAAGGGGGTGGAGTGAAAATTACTTTGTATGGAAAATCGCGCCCCTGAAGCAGGAGGAAGTGGATGAAAGTAATTTCGCGTCATTATATTAATTTAACATAAAACCATTTAAATACTAAGTAAACATATTCAAGCCTAAAACTATCTAGTCAACAAAATAATTTTTAATTATTTCTTCATGTTAAAATCTTTAAAAATATTAATTAAATCAGTAAGTAAATAAAATTTGAATATTTCGAAAACTAAGTATTTCCGCAACTTCACATTCATGGATTTGACGACATTTAGTTAGTACTACATTCCTGTATTTAGTTAGTACTACATTCCTAAATTTCATCTCATATAACTATCCTAATATATTCACTCGGCCATATCGCCTAATGCACACTCATCGATCGTGATCGCTAGGCGCACAAGGAGTTGCTTTCTTTTTTTTGTACATAACTATTGTTGCTTGTAGTAAATAAATTTCCACTTCGCCTAGCGATCTATGACCGATGGACATGCATTTGATGATATGGCTGAGCGGATACGCTCTTATTCAATAATCTTGTTAAATTAATTTCTTGTTAACTATTAAAAATTGCAAAATGATACAGAATTTTTCGACTCAATTTAATTCTTTCTGACCACTTTTAACTTTGGTAATTATTGCGAAAGGATTAAATCTCATTAATAACTTTGATTTTTACATATAATTATAGTCGATATAATCCTGAGTCATGCACATAACTCTTTGAATCACATGACGGACTCTTCTAGTTTCTGAGATATGACACTTTAAAGTATTGAATTTTTATTACAAAATTTAATTTTTCATACTGCGTTATTCGTACTTCTTATTTGTTGACATTTTTTGTTTATGTTCGCTTCTTCTCTTGTATTCAATATAGTAAAACATCCATCTCGAAGAAATTTAAAAGATTGTATGTCTTTTTTTTCAGTACGATGAAACATTAAAACCTTCGTATATAAGTGTAGATCTATCGGAAGTTGAACTCGCAGAATATGATGGTCCTTCAGCCTCTCCGAACAATTCGCTGTTGCTTGATGTAAGTACAACATTTTCATTATTTTATCATTTTTTAAAAACATTTAATAATAATAAAAAAATAAATAATAGCGAATGTTAATAATATTATGTTAATTTTTTTTAGCTAAGACGCGATATGATCGATCAAAAGGAAGGCGAGACGGACTTCACAATCAAAATACATTATGATGATATGGTAAAAAATTACAAAAAGAACAATTATAAATATGATAATTAAATGTATATATCGTAGAAATAATATAATTTTCGTTTTATTGTACAATGTTTTATTGATTTGCAGAAAAGAGTTACAATTAGACGACATAATTATTTTTACAAACCGATCGAGGGTACACCGTTTTCCTTAGGCTTGGCTCTACCCGAAGGTTATGGCATGTTCGAATTACGAGCCGAGCAAGAAATTAAGCTCGCTATTGTAAATGGTAAATTTTTTATTATAATTGTGTATGCACTGTTTTAAAATAACTTCAAAAAGCAGTTTTTAATAACGCAGTTCTTGATCTCAATGCGAATTTAAACGTATTGCATTACAGTAACGGAGTATTTTAAGGGGAGCAACTGGAAGGTGCATCCTGATTGGGTTTACTGTGAATATAATTCGGCTTCCGATAAATTCTTTTCCTCCCCGGAAGAACGCATTCTGCACTTCCTAGCACGGACGCGCAGACCGGGATGGAAATGGATGTCCTTGAGACCAAGGAGTCCTAGCTCGCATCACAAACAGGCGAGCAAGCCAGATAAAGACTCTTATTATTGTAAGTACATATCGTATTAATTTAATATCTAATAAATTAAAGATAAACTATAAAAAATATAATGTGTAAGACGAACGAAAAAATAAAGTAAGGAAATTAGACATGGATTCGACAGTATAGTTTCAGATAATTTATCATATTTAAATAATTATTATATTTTTCAAATGACAAATATATATATGTCATAAATTTTAGCATTTATTTTAAATTTTAAGTATTTATTAACTATTATTAATTATTTTTATTAACAAAAACTGCATATTTTATTGATATCCTTAAATAAGACTGTTTCAAAATTTACTGAAAATAGTTTACGTCACGTGCACTGTAGATTTTCAGTACTGACAGTAAATTTTGGAGCACAGCCTAATAAAGTGTGAGATGTCAGTTAGTATATATATTAAAAATTTATTTAAAATTAACATTATACAAGATGTCTGATAATTAACAATAAAAATGCTGCATAGAGAATGGATTAAACTGACAAGGAAATACATC